TCTCCTGTTGATGGACACATGTGCCCTTTACCAATTTTGACAGTTCTGAATAGTTTTTAGGATCACATTTAAATATTGTTTTTTGTTGTTTTTGTGCTGCTGCTGGGCAGTGAACCCAGGGCCTTGTGCACGTGAGAAAGTGCTGTGCCACCTGAGCTCTGTCCCCAGCCCCTGAACATGGTCTCCAAGCTCATACCCACCAGCCCTTTTTTTTCAGCTGGGCATGGAACCCATGGCCGGGTGCCCCTAATGCGAGCTCTAACGCACGCTGAGCCAGCTCCGCCTGTTTTTTGAAATGTTTTCTTCTAGGGATTGTGGTGACTCTTTTCAGTCAGAATTAACATTCCCACAGCCCCATGCGCCTCGTCACTGCCTTTGAACTCTAGGTAAAATGCAAAACGCCGTGCATTCTGTTCATGGGTGTACTTTAAAAAAACTGCTTTTTGAAAGGAGATGTCTTTGTATTTCTGCCATCCTGAAGCTCTTTCCTTTGACACGCACAGTCAGCCCTCTGAGTCCGCCTGTAGATTCAACTGGATTGGAAATATTCAGGAAAAAGAAACTGTCTTGGAGGTGGCTCAGGGGAAAGCCCCTTGCCTTGCTCCATGCCGCCCCGGGTCCCACCCCAGCAGCACACACAGCACAGTTTCATCTGCAGTGAATACGAGGGGCTTCCCCACCCTCCCTGTCATTGTCATTCAGTGTGTCAGCAGTTTGCATAGCATTTACATTTTAAATAACCTGGATGACTTAATATGTGTCGCAGGTTGTGCAGAGGTAAGGGAAATCCTGGAACCTGTTCTGTGGCCACTGAGGGGTGACCGAGTTCCTTCTGTTTTCCTTTAGCCTCAAGAATCGCTTCTAACATTTTGTTGCTGTTGATGATAAATACTTAAAAAATAATAATAATAAATGGCTTTTTTTTTTTTTTTGGTACTGGGGGCTAAACCCAGGGGCGCACTACCACTGAGCTACATCCTCAGCCCCCTTTTATTTTGGGGATGGTGTTGATGAGGCTGGCCTTGAGTCACTGACATTACAGGTGTTGGCCAAATGCCTGGCTTTTTTCTCCTCCATTCTTCAAGGATATTTTTATGCAATATGTTGGTCTAATTGGTCTCTCTGCCTTTGTCTCCTCACACAGTAGGTTGAATTTTCTCAGTGCATTGTAGATGTATTGCAGCACCTCTGGTTTCTGAGAAGTTGGGGATACCCTTGTCACTTTCTCAAGTTACTGTCCCTCTCCTGGTCCTCAGTTGCTTTCAAGGGTTTCACTTTATCAAGAGTGGTTTTCTTCCTGCTGTGCTGGTTGGTATTTTTGAAGCTCTGTTTGTCATTCACCAAAGTGGGGAAATTTTGACCATTTCTTCCCACTCCCCCACCCCATACCTTCCCTTGTACAGGGAGTGAACCAAGGGGCACTGAAGCACCAGCCACATCCCCAGCCCTGTTATGTATTTTGTTTAGAGATGGGGTCTGGGGTCCTGCTGATTGGCTTACAGCCTAAATTGTTGAGGCTGTCTTTGAACTCGCGATCCTCCTGCCTCCGCTTCCTGAGATGGGATGACAGGCGTGCGCCCTGGTGCCTGGGTCCTACGCTGTTTTCCTTCTGGTGCTCTAATCCCATGTGACTGCCCTTTGGATGTTGTGCTGTAGGCTCTGTTCTTTTTAGACGTTATGGCTGCTTTGAAATCGTTGTCATTTGGAGGTTGCTCTCTGGTGGTTCTTAGGTCCTTGGTGTTGTACATGTTATGTCACAGCTTGGATCTGTTGGGCTCGTCTGGGAAACAGCAGCCATGGAGATCTCAGTTCCATCTGCATCGTCATCTGCCTTGAGCCTCTGTTTGCAGGGTCCAAGTGCTGATAAGCCAGCTTTGAGCAGTTGACCCCCAGCCGGTTCGTGCTTCTCCTGAGGCCCTTCTGTGGGATCACGTCCTCCCGTCCAGTGGCTGGTGTCTTCCATCCAGCCCTGGACTTTTGGTTCTTGAAGCCAGACAAACTGGGTTTCCCAGAGTTCTAGCTGCCTGAGTGGCACTGTCCCGGGCCTCCCCATGGCCATTCCGCTCCCCGGAGAGCCTTCCTGTGTTTCTTCATCTTTCTGAGGTGCTTGTTTATAGTCGCCAGCAGGAAGCAGTTTACTTGGCCACACCAAAGGTTGAATGGTTTACATTTAAAAGTGGTTTTTTCCCTGGTTTTCCCTTCCCACATTTTCCTCTTGTCGCCCCATTGTGTGTCCACAAGGGGGCAGCGGAGCTCTGCTGGAGTCATCTGAAAATTGTTGCTGTTGGGACCTGGGATTGTTCCCAGGTGTGAGACATTTCACAACATTTACCCCCCGGGGCTGTCCAGCCAAGCACCTCTGGGGGAGTGTAGAATATGGGCAAGATAATGTCACGGCAAACCGCAAAAGCACAATTATGATACAGGTTTTCTGGTGACAGATTCTTCATGAGTGGCCCAGGCCCAAACGGGTCTATGTGAGGTGCAAGGGAGGCTACCCAGGAACCCCGAGCCTGGATTGGGGGGGGGCGGGATAAAGCTACAGAGTTTGCACCTGGGGGCAGTGGGAATTGTCCCTGGAGTTGGAGTAGATGTGTAGACAGATGTGGTGGGACCTGCAGGGACAAAGATGGACTGACGTCTAGAGAGTCCAGCGTGCCCCTAGTGTTCTAGGTGGTGGTGGTGGGAGGGCCCTTGCTGTTGGAGGAAGCTCCTCTGAGGTTCTGTAAAGGGGTGGACAGTGGGGGGGTGGGGAGAGACAGGATTGGCAGGCACACGGCAAAAGTGGGGCCCCCCGCCCTGGACATTGTGGGGACTGGCACGGCTAGTGTTTGGGGGGTGCTTTGTGAACATAAGTGCAGCTGGACGTGAGAGCTGACAATAAGTGGACTCTTAAGTTTTGGGTCTTGATGACCAAGAAAAATAGTGCTGTGTGGGAGGCAGCGGGACACAGAGGGGACAGTGTAGGTGAGCTTACTGGAGCCAGCGTCCTGGGACACCTCAGCTTTGCTGCCTGGCAGCCCAGACGGAGCCTCTAGTGACCTAGAGGGCCCCACCTGCTCTCGGGGAGCTGCTGAAAAGTCTGGACTTCACCTCTGATGTCCGATCCACGAGGTCCCTCCTGTCACCTGCCCTGTGTCACCCTGGGCTGTCTCTGCACCTCCTCCTTCCTCAGCATTCTAGGGTCATTTGTGATTGGAGGTGCCCAATTTCATTAGAGCGAGTGTCCTCAGGAGCAGGGTTCTTAACACAGGGGCTGTGCACAGAATTCAGAGAAGGACGCTGTGCCTCGGCTGCCCCCCACGGCCCATGAGCTTCACACCTGCGGGAGCTGCTGAGGAGAGCGGGAAGGAGGGAGGCCTGTGATTTAGGCGTCTGCTAAAATGCACTGCTAAAATGCACTGCTTTCCCTGGCCCTGACCCGTGGTCACCTCAACACGGTGCTGCGGGAGGGAGGGAAACGTGCTTCGAAGATTTGAGCAGATGGACGTGCCCCAGCTTTAGCCCTTGGCACTTGAGGTGCGTTCAGGGCACCTGCAGGTGACTTGCCCAATAGCAGCACCCCTCCCGCCATCCCCCTGGCATGTGTAAGTTCTCAAAGGCCCTGCGACAGTGGGCTGTTGTCCAGCTGGGAACGTGGAATCCTGGCTCCTTATGACCTTTAGCAAGTCACTGAACCTCTCCAGCCTCAGTGTCCCCACCTATAAAATGTGAAATGACCTCTTATTCGGTACTTATTCGGTAGAGGTCAGCCCACCTGCGCCGTGCATTCTCCTGCTTGGTCATTCTTCCTCTTGATTCATTCAGTTTTCTGTTTTTCAGGAAAAAAGCTTGTAAATACTTCGAGCAAGGCAAGGGGACCTGCCCGTTTGGAAGCAAATGCCTTTACCGCCACGCGTACCCAGACGGGCGGCTGGCAGAGCCAGAGAAACCCCGGAAACAGCTCAGCTCTGAAGGCACAGTGAGGGTAAGGACTGGGCCGGCCCCGGTGGCTGTCCCCACCCCCAAAATCGATCAGCTTTGGCAGCCATGAAGAGGAGGCGGGGGCTCGCGGCCTTCCTGTGGCCCTAGCGTAACCAGGCGCCCGTTGGTCTCTTGCAGTTCTTTAACTCGGTGCGGCTGTGGGATTTCATCGAAAACCGAGAAACCCGGCAGGTCCCCAGCACTGAAGATGTTGACATGACAGAGCTTGGGGACCTCTTCATGCACCTTTCTGGAGTGGAATCCTCAGAACCCTAGGCTCAGTGGTTGTCCCTGCATCTTGGGCGTTGCTGAGCCAGGGCGTGAGCCAGGCTGTGCTCACCCTTGGTCTCCTCCACTCTCCCTATGAATGCCCTGGGACGAGTGGAGCATATAAAGTAACCGAATAAGTACACGCCATCACTGTTTCTATAGCTGGTATCTGAGCTGCACCTCCAGCCCCTCGGGACCAGCTGGCTGCTGGGCGGTTTGCTTTAGAGGAAACCTGGCTCTGCTCCCGATTGTTCTCCTTAGAAACAGTAAACTCGCCGCTGGCCCCGGGAGCACATGGAATTTTCTTACCAAAGGCTTCCTCCGCGGGGTCCCCAGTGTGTGTAAACAGCGAGCTGCTGTTGAGGGGCCATCAGTCCTCGTGAGTCTCCTCAGTGTCCCACTCGTGCAGCTGACAGGTGAGGTGTTGGGCCGCCCTGTCCTGCCTGAAAGGGCTGCTTGTCCACCCGGGAGCTAGTTTCTGGCCCAGTAGCGCTTTAGAGAAGGAGGCCAGAGTTCCTGCTCAGTTTCTTTTTAACTCAAGAATGCGTGTGACCTCGCAAGTTAGAACAAGCTTGTTCTAAACCTAAACCTGAATTTTTTTTTAATCTATTTTTGTAAAATGCTGTAGAGATATTTTATAAAATGTGTCCCTACAGTATGGGTAGTTACCCGAGTTGAGAATGCTTGATTTTCATAGTCAGCTCTCAGTCAAGGGCCTGAGGAGCAGAGTTCCATTCCCAGCTTTAGAAGGAAAGGGTTAACAGCCATTAAACCTAAATTTAATTTATTTTATTAAAATAACATAATCGAGGAATCATCATAACTGTATCTTGTCAGGCGCAATAAAAACAAAATTAAAACCCAAATCAAGAAAACCTGTATTCCTGGCTTCCTTGCATCCACAATTATGTGACTAGAGACGGGGCTGGCCCTGCGGCCCGCCCCATAGGGGCCGCCCCTGGAAGACGAATTCAGCATGACGGGAGGCTGCTCCCAAGGACCAGGACAGGAGGGCGGAGCACCATGCCTGGAAAGCCACCCTGTGCACTGGACATCTCGGGCTGTGACAGGCAAGTCCCGTGGTACTAGATAGAGCAGGCGCATCTCCGCAGTCCTGGGTTGTTCGGTGAGTTATGTGCAAAACTGTTGGCGCTGCACCGCTGTCTCTCAAAAGAAGCTGGTTTCCAAACCCCATGTCCCCACCGTGGGGGCCAGTCCGCTCACGACCTTGACATCCACTTCTTTTTTGCCCTAAAGGTACTCGGCTCTTGCAGGGCCGTCAGCATCCCCTGTGCATGCTGGAGACGGAGGAGGACGGGCCAGAAAGGGTAGAAAAGAAGGCAACGTGAAGTTAAGGCCTGTGCGTCTTAGGAGGTCCTTAGCAGCAGCTTCTCAGAAAACAACGCTCTGCCCCAGGAGCAAGGGCCAGGAAGGTGCTGCCGCTGCCTTCCCTTCCTCCCGGGGCCGAGCGCAGGTGCAAAGTCCACTAGAAGACAGGCAGCCTGGGGGACGTGGTCAGCGTGCAGGCGTTGATATCCTCGGTATGTGCTGCCCGGTGCAGGGATGGCTCAGAAGCACTCCGGTTGATTTTGGGGAGGGAGTGTTGGAGCAGCTCGATGGAAGACAGGATCTGAAACGAGGTCAAGGCGGGTCCTCAGGTGGGGTTCCAAACACTGCCTTTCCGCACCTCTAGTCCCTTCCCCCACCCGGGGTGGTCTCACCTGGGGAAAGAGAGGCCTCTCCTCCTTCACTTTCTTCACGCAGTCGGCCACCAGCCTCTTCATGGCCTTGGGGCAGTTCTTGTAGAGCTTGCTGAGGTCGGGGGAGGCATAGCCTCGGCCCACCATGAAGATGATCTGAGGAGGGAAGACAGGAGTGAGTGGCCAGACCACCGCCACTGGGCCCGGGCTCCCACCAAGTGCCCGCGGACGTCACCTGATCCCGGTTGTTGATGTGGGAGTAGGGCAGCTCCCCGGTCATCAGCTCGTACAGGACGATGCCGTAGGAGTAGACGTCGGACTGGAAGCTGAAGGGGTTGTTGTCCTGCATCCGGATCACCTCCGGGGCCTGTGAGGGCGGGTCGGCGGTCATCATGGGGCCTGGCTGTCCCTCCCTCAGCTTCTAGGGGCCCTTCCCCCAGGGACTGGCCAACACAGAAACCCGCAGGGGACGCAGCTTGCCGATCCCGTGCCCCCCAGGTTCCTCACCATCCACAGCACGGAGCCCGTGGGCTGCTCCACCTGCTGAGAGCCACTCCAGCGGGACTTCACTGTCGCCAAACCAAAATCTCCAATTTTCACTGTTAAGCCTTCGTGGAGAAATATGTCTCAATGCTTGTTAAGGACGCTAGCTCCCAAAGGGCGGTCAAGTTAATTCTCCCCAGAGTTCCTTGTAACAGGGTCACCTCGCCACCTCTCTGGCCAAAGCCACCCGTGCAACAAATGTGCCAGATCCTCAAGTGTGTCTCCTGCTCGTCCTCATTTTCACACTGAGGTGCTGGCTCCCTGGCCTTGTGAGCCTTCTGTGTAAGGTAGGCACCTTGCGACCCGAGACCAAGGCTGCCCTCTGGGGGCTGGACATGGCCTGGTGACTCTGAATTATGTCTGAGTGGGCGTGGCTAGCAGATCCCTTCCTGAGGCTTAAATGCTCTCACAGCAGAACAGCCACCGGGCAGCCGCAGCTGGCCTAGGGAGCTGCTGGTGCTCAGGATCCAGAGCCAAAGCCTTGGTGTCCCATGATGGCTACAAACACCCACCATTCATTGACTGAGAAGCCATCAGCCTCTTAGCCGCCCTATGGGAGCACGTCCCCTGATACATCTCCAGGACCCTTCTACTGGCCAAGAAGCTAGAGGGGCAGAGCCTTATTACACACAAGTCTTAAGAGAAGGGGCTGTTTCCAACAGTGAGCTCCAAAGAGATGACTTATTAATAATTATGACTTAGTAATTTTGGGAATTTGGCAACTTTGGATCTGGATCCAAACAGCTACAACCTAGAAATAAGACCAAAGCCCGAGTGTTCTCCAAGTGGAAGTTTAAGGGGAACAAGGCGTCTTCTCAGCACCGCACGGTATAATGAGGACCTGCTAGTCCCACTGTGTGCCTTATAACTTTCCTTATCAACCACCTGCCCTCCCTCCAAAAAGCTATCGTGACAGAGCCCCCTTGGTTCTGTTCGCTAGCTTCAGCCCCCAAAGGATACTGTTGGACTTCATGTCTCTGTGGATGATGTTCTTGGCGTGCAAGTAGCTGTGAGGGGAGAGGAAGTGTTAAAAAGCAGCTTCTGGAGTGCGGGAGAACGCCGTCCTCAACTCCTGCCTCGAAGAAAAGCCACCCCTTACCCGTGGGACTAGCCCTCTTCACCGGGTCTGTGTCACCAGGAGGGGGGACCACAACACAAACATGCTGTTGCTGCCCTAAGCTTCAGCCCTTCTGATGTGAGCGTCGGTGGTGGGACTAAAGCAGAACTGGAGTCCTGCACACACCGGAGACCACACTGTACCCCTGCTGGCGACACTGCAGAGGGTGATTTTGTGGACCTGCACAAGAGCATGGGCCAGCACCGGAGCCAGCCAGGCCTGGCGAGGAGCTCCACCCCCTCTCCCTGGCCCTGCGCACCCCTCGACTTGTCTTCTCATGGTGCCAAGCGACAGGGCCTAGCTACTCACTCCATCCCCTGCGCCGTCTGCCGGGCGATGTCGATCAGCTGGAACATTTGGAACTTGGTCTCCTGGACATGCAGATGTTTGTAGAGGCTGCTGCCCTCACACCACTGGGTCACGATGGCCAGGTTGTCCTTTGTCATGTATCCCATGAAGAGTAGGATGTTGACGTGTCGCGTTTTGCTGGGGGGAGGAGAGCTCTGCTTTCTCACAAGGCCTCGGGCCAGCAACCCAGCAGGAGCCCTGGTGAGCTCAGAGCTGGCCCCGTCAACAGGACCTTGTGCCCAGCGCACTCCCAACTTTCCAGGGGGGAGGGGAGGACCCCCTTGTCTTCAAAACCCATGGTAAAGCAACTTGGCAACAAACAGGGTTCTCCCCACCTCAAACAGAAACCCAGAAACAGCTGGGCCACCAAGGACAGTGGGCCTCGACAAGCGTCCACCTTCCAGAAGGAGGAGGTGCAGGGCCAGACTCACCGCAGGACAGCCACCTCGTTTCTGAAGGCCTGGAACTGCTCTGGGGTTGGGTCCACAACCTTCAGGATCTTCACTGCAACGTCTCCTGCAAGTCAGTGGAGAGTCAGCACCCGGTTCAGTGGGGTCACTTTAGGTTGAGGAAGATAGTCCCTGAAAGAATCCCCTCTACAGAGGTGGGACACGCCTGCACACCTCTAGACACAGTCCCTGAAAGAAGGTGTTAAAGGGGCTGGGGGTGTGGCTCAAGCGCATGGCATGGTGGGGCCTGGGTTCGATCCTCAGCATCACAAAGATGTGTCCGCCGAGAAGTAAATAGTAAAAATTCTCATTCTGTCGCCTTCTCACTCTCGCTCTGTCTCTCGCTCTCTTACACTCGAGTACTCTGTCTCGTTCTGTCATACTCTTACTCTCCCATTCTCACCGTCACACACACACTCTGACTCATACACTGTCTCTTCACTCTCGTTCGTTCTCTCATGTTTGCACGCGCTCACTCACGTGCGCTCGTCCTCTCGCACACACACACACTTTCTCTTCCTTCTCACACTCTGGCTCGATCTCTCTCATTCACTTTCTCACACATTCTCTTCTTACTCATTCTCATTCCTCACACATTCTTTCTCTCTAAAAAAAAAAAAAAAAACTGACCCTCCTCAACACTGCGTGCCTCCCACACCCTGGCACTTAGCGCCCAGGTCCCCTTCAATCCTCCGTGAATACTTTCTGCATTTGCAGACCAGCAGCGGTCTAGGCACCAGGAAAGTCCCTTCCTGCTCATGCTGCCCTGACTATGGGTGACGCTGACTGAAGCCAGTGTCCCGACGGCTGCAGATGTCAGTCCTGCTTTCTCTGCGCTCCAGCTCTGGGAGCCGCTCTGCCCGTGCTCTTGGGCCAGGGGGGAGGCACAGCCAGCCCTCGAGCAGCACAGGCAGCTGAGGGAGAGGAGCATAAGGGCGCCACCTCAGCAAGACCCTGTCTTGAAAGTAAAAGGGCTGGGGATGTAGCTCAGTGGTCAGCAACCACGGGGCTAGTGCCCACTATAAAGTAATTTCTGTAGATATAATTTGAAGAGTCAGCCAGGAGGACAACCTGGTTCCTTCGAAGGGCAAGGACCATCCCTGCAGCCTCCGCTGAACAGGGGGTTTACAACAGATGCCAGACCATCCCTGGGAGCCCCAGGTGACCTGGTTCCTGGGCCTCGCTGTCCGGGGCAGCCTGGGAAGGCGCTGCTGCCCTTGGGTGGAGACAGACTCAGGGGCCGCCTTCTACCCAGGAAATACGTGGGTCGGGAAGCCTCATGGGCGAGGTCCTCACGACGGTGCTGGGCATGTGCAAGGGACAGTCGGCTGCGATGACCCAGGTAAGTGGCAGAGGACTTGGCCGGACAGAGGAGGGGAGGCAAGATGGGGAGAGGGGAACTGAGCCCAGGTGGCTCAGGCTCCTCAGAGCAGAGCCTGCAGAGACCCTGTGGTTTGGCAGTGCAGGAGGGGATGGCTGCAGGCCCTGCCCCAGTCTTCCGGAGCTCCGTCCAGTGGCGCCCGCTCTCGACTGCTTTGGGAAAATGAACGGGACTTATTCCTTCCAAGCGCCTCTTTCCTTTGTCCCATCACTTTAATCACAATCCCTATGTACGTGGGGCAGAGCCACCCCCCACCCCATTTAAGTGTGAATAATCCGAGCACTGCCGCTGGAGGGCACCACCCCAGAGCACAGGACTTGGTTCACGTAGGGACTGCCAGGAGCTGGCATGGGTGCTCCGGTCGTGAGCTCCCCGCAGGTTCTTCAGGCAAAGGCGGTCAGAGCTGCTGCAACCCCAGACTCCATTCCACCCAAACAGTATCTGAAGTCTTGGGCCAGGGCCATGGCTCAGTGCATGAACAAAGGAACAGGTAGAAGCTCAGAGAATGGAGGCACCAGAGAGTAGGGAGGAAGATGGGGCAGCATGTGCAGGCCTCAACACCTGCAGGACCCACTCCTATCGTCTCACCTTCGCTCAGTAGGGAGCCTCCGGGTCTCCTCGGGGACTGAGCAGCTGGCTTTGCACCTGCTGCAGCCGCTGCCTCCCTCCACTCCTTCCCACTTACAGGGCTGGGGCTTCCCCATATGAAGAAAGGGAAGGGTACAAGTTTGAGGACACATGTGTACATAGTACTGTATTAAGATGCAAAATTTGTTTTTAGGTGTTGGTTAGGATCTATTCATTTTTAAAAAGAAATTCTAAAATGGAACTGTAAAGAAATTCTAAAATGGAACTGTAAGTGCCCAGGCACGTGATAAGCTAACAGCTGCCCATGGGACTTCAGTTTCTAGCATGGAATTCAGGACACAGCCTGAGACCCCTGAATAGAACTAGGGCTCAGCACAGGCAGGACCTGGGTTCGATCCTCAGCAGCACATAAAAACCACCAGGTGGCCTCCCAAATCAGCCTAGGGTTCCTGGACATCAGCAGTGTGCCATCCCTGCCCTCCTGGCTGGCAGTTTTGCCACATTTAAAACACAGTACTTTGGGGGATAGTTCGAGAAGGGGAATAGCTGGGTCAAATGGTGGCTCCATTCCCAGCTTTCCAAGGAATCTCCATACCGCCCTCCAAATTGGCTGCCCCAGTTTCCAGTCCCACCAGCAATGTACAAGTGTACCTTTCCCCCACATCCTCGCCAGCACTTGTTATGGACTTCATAATGGCTGCCTTTCTTACTGGAGTGAGAGTGGTTTTAATTTGCATTTCTCTGACTGCTAGAGATGGTGAGCATTTTTTTTGTGTACTAGTTGACTGATTGTATATCCCCTCTGTGAAGTGTCTGTTCAGATCTTTGGCCCATTTGTTGATTGGGTTACTTGTTTTTTTAACTTTTTGAGTTCTTTGTATACTCTGGAGATTAGCACTCTACCTGAAGCGTGAGGGGTGAAAATTCGTTCCCAGGATGTAGGCTCCCTATTTACCTCACTTATTTCTCTTGCTGAGAAAAAACTTCTTAGTTAAAATCAAGAATCAACAAATGGGACGTATTTAAACTCTTGTGCTAAGCAAAGTTAGCTAATCCCTAAAAAACAAATGCCGAATGTCTTCTCTGATATAAGGGAGGTGACTCAAAACAGAGTAGGAAGAAGACTACCACGAAACAAGGAAAAGAGGAGGGAGGGAAAGGAAGGGAGAAGGGGAGTTGCACGGAAGACAGAAGGAGACCCTCATGGGTTCACAAAATACATATACGATGGTGTCAGGGGGAAGGGAAGAAAAAAAAAAAAAGATAAGTGTCACAGTAGAATGGGTAGACAATAGGGAGGGCAGCAGAATACACTAGGATTGCTGTATGTATACACAATGTGATCCTGCAGTCTGTACATGTGGAAAAATGAGAATTCATACCCTATATACCCTATATGAATCAAATGGATGTTGTCTTCAGCAACTAATAAAAAAATGTAAACAGAAAAAAATAATAAAATAAAACCCAGTACTCATTAACTGTCGTGAGTCTCACATAGCTCAAGGTAGATGGCTTGTGTCCTGCCAGGCCAGGAAGCACTGAGCACATGCCACAAATTCTTTTTGTGCCTTAACAGCAAAGGCGAGTGAGTGACATGCAGGTGGCCTGAGAATGTTCCACTTGGGATTTTTGTACTGGGAATGTGCAAAGGCAACACAGATTTAGCAGAAACTGCCCCTAGACTTTCCTTCCTGGGCCAACAGCACGGTCCTCAGGTGACACAGGCACCATCAGCCACAGACGAGGGGACCGATGTGCCACAGTCCCGGCTACCAGGGTGCATTCCACTGTTTCTGGCCTTTGATATTGTCAACCTGCAATGGCTACAGGAAGGACTCCGTCCTAAACTGAGGAGCATCTGGACGAACAAGACAGCTTTCTGGGTGTTGTACCACTTCACATCAGATACTGACCCCACGGTCATCAGCCGCACGAGGAAGAGTCTTATCCCTGCTGGATCTACACGGTTTAAATACCCGGCCACTGTCTGCTCTTACCACAGACACGTCTCGCTCTTGAAAAAAAGGGTGTCATCATCCTTTTGTTAGTGACTTGATCACAAACCCCAGGCTCTGCGCACGTTAAGCAGCCCTGGAGCGGATGCTCACCTCGGGTGTGTGAGACCAGCTCTATCGATGTCCCCCCAGGGGCTCCCGTTATTCCCTGCTGTCCTAGTTGACAGCCTCAGAAGCTGCCCAGGCAGATCCTGGCTCACCCCGGGGCTCCAAGCCTGGGCCTGTCCCTTCCACAGACAGGCAGCTCCCCGTCTATCTAGCTGCCACACTGAGCGCCAAACTTTTGGATTGAAAATCATCGGAACAGCTGCTATCCTCATGACACTCAATAAGACATCACTATACACTAATATTGGGATGGACACACACAGAGCCCCCAGTCTAGAAATTGAGGTTTCCCTAACAGCTCATTCTTTAGTCTTCATTGATGGTGGCCTACCGCTCTGACACTCATGCAAATCACTCTCTCTGATGGGAGGGGTGGCCAAGACAGGAAGGATCGAGAGTACACAGCCAGCCTCAGCAGTGGTGAGGCCCTGTCTCTAAATAAAATCAGGAGGGGGCTCAGTGGTCGAGTGCCCCGGGTTCAATCCCAGGTACCAAGACAAAAAAAGCTTATAAGCCTGTGGGAGGCCGCCCTCGAATGTGATTTGAGTCCCCTCCCTGGCTGGGTGAGAGGGGCTTTAACACAGCTGGGTCTGAGCCTCCCCCACCCTTTCCCAGGACGAGAGCTTGTCCATGCAGAGGTGTGCCTGGCCACTGCCCTGAGGACCCAATCGTCGTCCTTGGCCTTGGGATGCTGCCCCCCTTAACCTTCATTGGATGGGATTTTCCCTGGAACTTTTTGTTCCCTAATAAAAGCTCACTCCCTGGCGTGCTGTCCCTCTCGCGCTAGTCTCTTCTGTAAACCTCGCCACCGCATTAGGTGGCGGGAGCTAGGAGAAGCCGTCCCGGAGCTGATATTAACGGTAACGAGAGTCTGTCTCTCTAGTTTAAAACTCACTAGCATTTACTCATGAATCGAAACTTCCTTCCTAAGAGTCCCAAAGTCTGTGGCCCTGGGGGCAGCCACCGGCGTATTAGAGACAGTTTTCCAAGGAAACACCTTGCATGCAGCTTACCAGTGTTTACTTCTGTGCCCCCGAGGAGCCAGAAACCCCCATATTAGTGAGCACAAGGCTTCAGAGAACCAGAGATGGTTCTTGCCACCTCTCTACCAAAAAGTACAGAGACAGCCAGGCACTGGGGGTGATGCTGCGTTCGAGGGGTGATGTTGTGTTTTGGGGGGCCACGTAACATTTTCATGAAAACACTGCTCCCATCCTAACAGACATGTAAAGTGGGTCACGCCGTAGCTACAGAAACTAACAGAGTCCCTTTCTTCCAAGTGACACACTCTAAGACTCCCACTCAGAGTCAAGACCCGTGTCTGTGCTCTCCATAGCTGACAGGAAGCTACCAGGGAGGTCCTCCGCCCAACTGTTTGACCCCCTCCCTGCGCCTCAGTTTTCTTGCAGGCGAGACCCCTCGGGTCCGCTCCAGCTTCAAGTTTCTAGAAGCCACATCCCCCACGGGGGCAGGTGCCTGCTCAGCGGAGAAGCCCCTGGCTTTGGACCCCAGGGCTCGGCCCCTAATGATCCCGAGCACAGCAACTGAAGAGCACGCGTCCACCAGCTCGGCCTGAGATCCCACAGCTGATACCATGTTCCACCTGCAGGTGTGACTGAGTACCCGTGCAGGGCGCTGCTCGGCGAGGGGACCCCAGTGCCCTCCGCGCTCAGAATGAAACTCGACTCCCCCTGACAAGGAGGCCCCAGACTCACCGTGCCACTTGCCCTTATAAACGGTTCCAAAGGAGCCCGACCCAATGCGGGTAGAGAGCATGACCTCGCTGGCTTCGATTTCCCAGTAATAGCTTGAATCTCTCTGTCCCCGTGGCCTCTGCAACAAGTGGAGACCGTCAGTCACTCCACGGAATGACAATTCTGTTGACAATGACAAAACCAAACAAAGGAGCGGCCCTCCTCCCGCCTCCTTTTTCTGGTGCTGCTGGGAGGGAACCCAGTGGCCTCTGCAGCGCGTTTTTATTTTAAGACAGGGCCTTGCTAACTTGACAGGCCGCCATCCTCCTGCCTCAGCCTCCAGAGCGGCTGGGATTGCAGGTGCCAGCACCCCTGGCCCGTCGCTGTGTTTTAAAGACACACAACTCCATAAGGGAAAAGGCCACTTGAGTGGAAGCAGACCGGGAAGCAGTCTGAGGCAAGTGTGCCCAGCACGTCACACCCACCCATGCTGTCCTTAACGAGGCTTCCCCAGGGTCCCACCCCAAAGCCAGGCCAAGCGCATCTGACATTCAGCCGTTTCCACTGTGGAACCCTCAGCGCCAGGAGGAGCCGCCGCCATACTCACAATCTTGTTTTTCTCCTGGGTCCCAGATCCTGGAGCCCGCTCTCTCTGTGCCGGCACCGGGGTCTTGGGCTGGGACCAGCCTGTGGGGCTCAGGTTGTTGGGGCTGCTGGACGGGGCTGAGGGCGAGGCTTAATAGACAAGACAAACAGAGTCCACATGGGGTCAGCCACAGAGATACACAGCATAGAGAGAAGAAGCCATTACTGTCTGTAAGTGACTAGGGAAAGTACCTGATTCGCTGTGACTTCGAATGGCATCCTGAAACAGAAGAGGAGAGCGGGTCAGGCGGTGCCCTAGGAAGGAAGAGCTTCCCAGGGGGGGAGGGGGGAGGATGTGCAGAACAGAGTGGACTCTGAGGCCTCAGACAGTCTGACTCCTATCCTAACCACGCTCCCCCGACTCTATCCACCCGAGGCTGGAGGCCAGTCTCCCACGAGCAGTCGGTAACCAGACGCGAGTTTTGAATCATCTTCAGAAGAAACAGCACACGAGAGAGGAGGGTGAGCAAAGTCACCGTCAGCTGAGACCCTTCCCAGGCCTTGGGACCTTGCTCTATTGGTCCTCTGGGGTTACAGGAGGTGGGGGCACTGGGACTCCCTGGCGAGCTTACCCGGCTAGGGGCTGGAGTCCCCGGGCCAGAGGTGGACTTGACATGGTCTATCCAGCCCCAAGTCACAGAGAGCTGGAGAGACCAGGAATCCCCAAGGGCTTGGGCAATACTTCACGTATATGAAAAGTCATGGGAGCAGTCAAGAGACCTGCCAGGCCACCGAGCCGTAGCTGGCAGAGAAACCCAAGGCTGCCTGTCCCCTGGGAGCAAGCCCTGAAGGTAGTCACGCTCTGCTCAGGTGACAGGTCCAAGGCAGCCTTCTGAATTTATCAGAAACCAAAGACTGCTTGAATCACAGGGGCCTCCATGAGCCCCAAATCCCAACTTTAAAAGTCTTCACTTCAAGTGGAATGTTTAACAGAGTAACATGAAACCCCTCGGCCCCCTTAAAAATGGTGTTGTCCCCGAGGCCCTACATTCAGGGTTTTCTTTTTGTGACCACAGTGTAGACAAGATGCTTGTTCAACACGACTATTACTAGAATGTTCCCACGCAATGACGTCTTGCAAAGAGAAAAAGGATGATGAGTCAGGCTGCTTCTCCACCCCCAGGGGTTATCAATAAAGCCTCGTCCTCATTCCCCAACCTGCAGAGCTGCTCAGGGACACAGCGACCCTCCCTACGCGCCCCAGCCGGGATCCATGCAGCATGTCTGCGAGAGGCCAGCTCCGGCGAGGGGAATCCACTGGCCAAAACCAACCTGAATTCAGGAAAATATTTAGGAACTGCTCTGTGATTCAGTCAGAGCATGGCGCAGTACACCTTTAATAACACAACTACTCCCACACATACAAGGATCTTTTTCTTAATGTCACTTGATTTGCTTCCCTGTGTCCACTGTGTATGTCACCCTTTGCTCTGCTGGTCATTTCTACAGTCAGGAGGGGTATTTCTCTGGCCTTGGAATCTTTTCGTTTAGGAGAACTAAATAAGGCTTATGTAGAACAAAAATGTCCAGTTAAAATGCTCAATCATACAAAAGAACCCAAGAATTAAAATGTTTCTAAAAAAGTATAGAAAAGGTTAAAGCACAATAGTTGTGCTAGTTACTTTATAATAAGAGTGAAGAATTTTTCGCTTTTAACATTTAAGTATTAAAGTGCTTATACTGGCAAAAAAAATCATGTAAGAAAAGTAGCTGGTTTGTTGTTATATTAATATCAGAACAAACCATAATGACAACAGCACCCACAGCTTATGCACAGCCTCCTGACAACACTGACAACTATCCAAGTGACACTTTCAGCCGGGCACGGGGACGCACAACCATAAGTCCTAGCAATGTAGGAGGCTGAGTCAGGAGGATCTCCAACAGCTTAGCAAGACCGTCTCCAAATAAAAAGTAAAAAGGCTGGGGACATAGCTCGGTGTCACAGTGCCCTGGGTTCATTACCAAAATAAAAAGTGACCTGTGGTCTGAGTGAGGTAACCCACACCCGAAGTGGCAGGTGTCCTTAAGTTTTTGTTTTGTGATACTGGGGACGGAACCAGGACCTGGGCATGCTAGGCCAGCACTGACCCTGAGCCACACCCAGCCCTGTGGAGACAGGCTCTTATAAGTCGCCCAGGCTGGCCTCAGACGTGATCCTGTCCTGGACTCCCAAGTACTGGGACCACAGGTACGCGCCATTGTGCCCAGCCCCGGGAACAAGCAGGATGCTCAGAGAGCAGTCATCTCTGATGAGCATTTAATAAAGGACCTCCCAGTCCATGTCAACCAAAGCTTTTGATTTCTAATCAAAACATTGCTTTCCAATGTACAAACAAAACACTGGTGTTGTAAGTGCCAACTAAGTCTAAGTCTAGCAACTACTTGTTGGTTAAAATTGACTCTGTGAAGCCAAGGACATTAGAATATTTTGCACAATCTATTTTGAGCCAGGTGTGGTGGGCACGCCTGTCATCCCAGCTAGTTGGGAGACTGACGCAGGAGGATTGCAAGTTTGAGGCTAGCCTGGGCAACTTAGTGAGGACCTCCCACAAAATAAAAGGGCAGAGGATGTAGTTCAGGGGTAGAGCATCCCCGGCTTCAATCCCCAGTACCAGAAAAACAAAAAACAAACAAAAAAAAAAAAACTATTAACTTGAGAAATACGACATAGAGTGTGTTTTTACTGACTTAAAAAGAAAACACGGAAACAAGTCCGACTAGACATGTGAACTGACTTGACAATGGCTTCCCATTAGATAGGATTGACTGTTAATGACAAGAAGGCAAAGGCATGAAGAAGAATACCTACTCTTCCCCTCACACAAAATCGTCTGGACCACGCCCTGGGAGAAGCATTCAGGCTGTTATTCTAGTCCAAAGCAATGAGAAAGAAATAAAGAAGAATAAAGAACAAAGGAAGTATTTTAAGTGTATTCAGTTGTTATTAAAGATGACTAGAAAGCAAACCAAACACACAACACGCCAAAAAGCAAAGCAGAGGAAAGGCAGACTGAAAACACTAGCTGGGGGCACTTTTCCCTCTGCCTGAAGGACTGCTCACGAGCTCCCATGCCCCACCCTTTTATTTCTAAATCCAATCACTTAAAATTACTCCAGGGGCTGGGGTGCCCCAACACCATTACTTTCTTTCCCACACTGCCTCCTGCCCGGGCTCCCCACACAGTGGGAAGAAGGCATCCAGCTGTCAGCATCTCTTCATGCGATTCCCGTCCTCACTTGAAGGATGCACCAACCCACTCAGCCCAGCTGCGGACATGCGGGACAGGAAGGAATCTTAAAACTCCAGGGGCCCCAGAAAAAGTGCTGCAACAGCCCTGACCGGGTTGCACCCCAAAATTCTCTGCCATAACCCTGAACCCCACCCATATGAACTGACTGATCTCATCACTGTCCCCCAGGGGCCCTGTTACCTCAATCATCCTGCTGTCCACGGGCAGGGTGGTGCTGACCATGTGGACATTCGGTGTGGACGTTGATCTCTGCCTCTGGGACAGGGAGCCCTCAGAGGCAGGGCTGGCGGTGTTGAAGGTGAAGGCGTGGGGCGTGGAGTATCTGTGCTGGGAACTAGAGGAGGAGAAGGAAAATTCCATCAGTGGCCATCGGACTTCCCCACCGAGTCCTTTAACCAAGTACCTTCACTGAGATATCGAGGGGTACTGACTGGGCAAGGTGGCACGGGCCTCTTTACCCCAGGGACCCGAGAGGCCGAGGCAGGAGGACTTCAAGTTCAAGGCCAGCTTGGGCTATGTATCAAGACCCTGTCTCAAAATTAAAAGGGCTGTGAGTGTAGCTCAGTGGTAAAGTGCCTCTAGGTTCAATCCTCAGTAACAAAACATTGAAGGAAGGAGAAAAGAAATTAGGGAACAACTTGATCTGTACAACCGTTGACAAAATGTTTCATTCTGGGGCTGGGGCGGGCTCCATGGGAGAGCGCTGGCTAGATGGGTGAGGCCCTGGGTTCAGTGCTCAGCACTGCATAACAATCAATAAAACAAAGGGTGCGCCCACCTACAACTAAAAAAAAAAATCTTTTTAAACATGTTATTCTTTTGACATGCAGAATTTTAAAACGCTCTTCTGTTTGGGTGGTTTTTTTTTTTGTTTGTTTTGTTTTTGAGAAGCAAAATAATCTTGGAATTGTAATTCACATAAATAGGAGATCAATACATTATAAAATTTCTCCTTCACCCCTACAGAACACCTCAAATTGTTATAGAATCTAGAAGAAAGAACAGATTATTAACATTTGCCAAACACCAACACCTACTAAGCTAGTTGGAATCTGCCCAGTTTAATTTAGAAAACTTCACACAAGATTTAAAACAGAGCTGAGAGCTGCCAGCCGGGCTGGCCGAGGCCGAGGCCGAGGCCACGCTCCGCCCCGTCTCCAAGACCAGCACACAAAGGCAATTCCTGCCAATTCAGATGTTAGATCTGCAGTCCTAACTGTGCAGTGAACCACTGGCTTCTTTGGGCCAACAGCCCACCTTCCCACCCAAACCGGGAAGAGCTCTGGGAAGCAGAACCCTGGGGAAGGCGGGTGTCTGGAGACCCAGCCTTGGCATCACATAGCGCCTGCCCTGGTACATCAGGCCCTGGGTTCCATTCCCAGCTCTGCGCCCCCTCCCCAAAACAATGACCCAGCCGTCAGGGTGGGGCAGCTGGGGCGTAGCTCTTTGGTTGAGTACCTGCCTAGTACTCGCAAGGTCCCCCTGGGTGCAATACTGACACCCCCCTCAGAGAATAACGTCAAACACTGTCATTATTTGCTGTAAAGATGATGAGTTCAAGCTTTGTTCTGATTCAGGGACACCCACTTAGGAACTCAAGGGACTGAAGGCACGTTTTTCTAAGTAAAAAAAAAAAATCAGGGGCTGGGGTTTTGGCTCAGTGGTGGAGCGCCCGTATAGCACATGCGAGGCCCTGGGTTCGATCCTCAGCACCACATAAAAATAAATAAAGTATTGTTTCCAACTAATTCCAAAAAATAAAAAATGTTAAAAAAAAAAAAAAAATCACCTTCGCAGGTACTTGTCTTTTTATGCCTTCAGAAACCTAGTCTGTTCCAATTTTCAGAGGCAAGTACAACTTTATGGCCCAATGTGGTTTGCAAATTATCAAAAAAATCATACATAAGTATATATCACTTTATAAGGGCATAATAATTGAAAGCAATGTTAACTAATTACATGTATATGAAAAATATTCTTAGACAAAGATGTAGATTTTATTTTAGGTTCTATATTATGTGAAACACTTAGCAACACAAACTCAAATAAGTCCCGATTCTTAAAGCTGGGAAACAAAATATAAGCAAGGCATATTAGGAAGGATATTTATACTGAAAAAAATTATATTTTTTTAAGTCAGCAAGAATATCATAGTCTTGGCAATGTGAGGCATTTCGGAGATGAGGGTCTTATTACTGATAAATCACTATTTCAGTTTGGGGACCAGTCCCATTGGGGCTCATCTTACTGTATACCAAGGAAGGCAGAATGGCAAGCTTTAACATATGGTATTCAAGGAGGTGTTATGATACCAGAAGGAACTGTATACACAGTCACTTTCTGGGATGTCAGAACTACAGGGCCACAGAGGGACAGCAGTAGTGAGGCCTGGAGGAGCGGCCAGGGCTCCACACGCCACGCGGCGAGGACTCCCACTGTCTGTGGCAGCACCGCACCCCCAACCCCGACATGATTCCCCAAGAGGACAGCTCCAGGCGTCCCCGTACCTGACAGGGATCCGGGAAACAGACTCTCGCATCCGACGCATCGTCAAGGAGGGCAGCGCCGGGGCCCCGCTCTCGCCAATGGTGGAATTTGGAAACAACCTAAATGACATCAGCGACAGACTCGTTTATAGATGTGCAGACATCTCGGAGAAAACCAGCTGCCCGCCTCGCAAACCCACAGCTGCCAAACAGAAATCTGCCCCGCCACGTTCTCCGCCACTGTTCCAGGCCACCTGGAGTAAGGGGACAGCAACCAAACAACTGGGACTGAATGACTGCAGAATGTCATCTAGGAAGTGGTTCCCATGTTCAGCTCCCTCAAAATGCTTTGTGAAGCTCCAGGAGGGCGCTGCACCACCTAGCGCACTTAGCGCTCTCTGGAAACCATGTCTCGGAGACAGAGATAAGCAAAGCGTGATCAGCACCAGAAGTCATCAGTGAGAGCAGAGGGGTCCTGCCCCCAGGAGGCGCCCGCCCTCCCTGAGCCTGTGCTCAGCAATCTCCCGTTAGCTCAGCTCGGCCTCCTGGGAGGGGGTACTGCAGGGAAGGCCACGTTCCTTTTTTGAGAAATGAACTGAGGCTCAGAGGTATCCGTTAGTGACAGGACTGAGAATCTGACATCTGCTGGGTTCCAAAGTTTGCACCATTTATGTTACTCAAGCTGTCTGCAAAAGTCAACATGTGACTAGCAAGAGAGCAAAGACGACATTCTCACTATGATTGGTTGGTGTGTGTGTGTGTGTGTGTGTGTGTGTGTGTGTGTGTGTTGGAAAATTAACTCAGGGTCTGTGGAGTGACAGTCCCTTAGCCCCACTGTGGTTTAATGACAATCCCTTGATTTTCTGCTGCCTTCTACCCTCAGGAAAGGATAAAACTTTGGCTTTTCACATCCCGGTAAACACAAGTTTTTGAAAGGCACGCTGGGATGAGCAGTTTTAATTGAAAAATTTCAATTATTTAATAAAACGTTGTCAAATACATTTTGATACCTGGTTTGTCTCCTGAAGGAAATAAGTATCTTTCAAACCGTTTTAAGCCCAAACCCTGTGTCTGAGGTAAATAAACAGCACCACTGTGCCCTCCTGCCCTTCCGTGCCATGGCCTCGTCACCTTACTAAACAAAACAGAGCAGTGTCGCTGGCGGCCTTGGAGAAATCAGTGCTAGGACAGGAAATTCAAGAATCTTTTGGGTTTTGGTATCCATCTGTCCTTTTCCTCATTGAATGTCACCATCTATTTGACAGGTGACAGGTTCTGCCTGCTTATTTTGGAGAATCTGACCACACACTAAAACTAGTCTCACAACCCCCACGTTTCTAAAGCAGGTTCCGAGATCAAAACAATTCACCCAGCAAGTGTGCCCGAGTCACGCAGACAGAATGCACACCCCCGGCACCCACAAACTTTCGGGGAGGAAAAAAGATGGTGCCTTACAGGAGCTGCCGGATGTTGCTCCAGTCCACACACATGGTGGGGACTTTGGTGCTACAGTGCTCGTGGAATTTGTAGCCACAAGTCTGACACCGAAATCCGTTTAATAGGAACTTCTGACAGATGTCACAGAAGGCAAGCTTCAGGAACGTCTTCCGAGCCTGTGACAAAAGAACACAGGTGTGGATTACACTTAGTAAATGAAACCCGTCCAAAGGCATTTCCACCCAAGCTCCCAAACATCTATGCAGATGAAGATGTTGATGCAGAAATTAAGCACCCCTCTGGCTAACCGAGTCTAAACAGCCTGTTGTGAACAAAGGCTTAGCCCAAGTTTTCAGCAATATAAAGAATTTATGCTCAGAAACTCCTAGTGGGCAACGCACGTCACCAACATGCCCCAGAGACACGACACTGCGACTTACAAAGTTGTGTGTGGTGAGGGGCACGTGGTCCAGGAAGTCCACCTGCAGCTCCTCTCCGATCAAGGAGGCGGCGTCCGTATTCCAATCTAAACGTGCTTTTTTACTAAAAATTTGAAAAAGAGTGAAAAGGAAATGTTGGGACGAGTTGGGGGTGGGGAACGGACGGGGGATGGCAGCTCCCATTCTCTCCCTGCCACTTAGACATGGCGCATTCGATCCACACAACACCAAGAGCCAGTGTCCTTGTCCTCGTGTTAAAAATGGGAAGAATCCAGGTCTACGGACTCCTGAGCTGGTGGTGTTAGTCTCCTTCGAACAGTGACATGTAGCACTGTCTTGGGAAGGGTGCGGGGGTGAGTGGGGGTGAGCGGGGTGATGGGTGGGTCCTCCCACCTCGGTCTCCCCAGCAGCTGGGATCACAGGTGTGTTCCACCAAGTCCAACTTGTAACTATCTTAACGTAGGGTCTGTGACGTTAACATTCTATTTTAAAAAACCCTAAAATCTTGCCAAATGTGTATAAATATGACCACAGTGCCAGGATTTTCGTGTGTGTCTGCCTACTTCAATCTAGAAGATTCATAAATAGAAAGGGACTACAAAATGCACGGGACCATTAATAAAAGACTTGTTTCTGCAGAGCTGTTTACAGTCTGTAAAAATAAGTCTTTGGGAGACTCAACTGTCATAAAGACTGAGACCACTGTGTTGTAGACAACACCAAATGTATCCATTTAAGTAAAACAGCATGCCCAGCTCCGCTCTGCCCCATTTCCTGAAGGGTGAATCTCAGTGAGCAGAGAACGTCACACACACTGCACCTTTCAAACCCTGGCCCCACCTACCAGAGACCTCTCCAAGCCCTCTTCCTGGTTATCCCCAGTAAATACCCAGGACAGGGCCCAGGACACTCCACAGCACTTTCCAGTCCTGTGCGTCCTAGTGAAGAGGGAGGGGACCCCGCCTCCGCTCAGCCCTCAGCTGCTCTGTGCAGCTCTGGGGAAAAGCAGACCAAGCCCCTCCCGGTCTCAATCTTTCTGGTAACTCAGGAGCACTGTGGCCTGCCTGCCTGGTGGAGCCACCCAGGGCTACATCCAGCTAAAACTGAGGTCTGCTGTGAGGATCTGAGCGTCCTGAACAGAAAGGAAGAGATGCATTTGAGTTTGTTCCTCGGTGCAGAGTGTGGACTCCTCTCTGGAACTGGGATCTCCTCGGAACATGAAGAGGTGTGAAGATGAGTAGCAGAAGTTCTAGCTTTCCAAAAACAAAGCCAAGCTCAAAGACCCTTCCAAAGCTTTCCCCATTTTGGGGGTAGAAATAACAGATAATGGATGATCATGGATGCTCGGTTGCTACAGGTTTTAGTCGAAGTCCTTGGGGACACGCCTCCAGCTTGCCACCACCATAACAAACAGAGTAAGTTTTCCCTGCAGCAGAAGGATCCTGTCAGGACAGCCCCAGAAACCTGGTGAGACCATCTCCAAAAATTTTTAAATACTTTTTTAGTTGTAGATGGACACAACACTGTTATTTATTTATTCTTTAAAATATTTTTTGGTTGTCAATGGATTTTATTTACTTTTTTTTTATGTGGTGCTGAGGATTGAACCCAGTGCCTCACGTGCGCTAGGAAAGTGCCGTACCACTGGGCCCCAACCCCAGCCACCCGCCCCCTTCTCAAAATTTTAAAGGTTAGAGGTGGAACTCAGTGGTTCAGCACCCCTGGGTTCAACTCCCAGTACCCCCCAACAAAAAATACAAACGAATGAGTGAATCACTAGACCTGACCTGGAGGTGGCAGAGCATACCCGGCCCCGTCCTCAGGAACACCAACAGCACCCACCGTGTATCTATTTCTCAACAGAATATCCAGCAAGGACGTCAAGTTCTTAGTGCCTTATTTCTCTGAATTATCTCTTCATAAACAAAGGTAGGTGACCACATGCTACTTTATAGAAAGCTAGCACAAATATTTTTTATGAAACTAGTTATTTGAGTAACTATTCTGGAAGAGGAGCTGGCGGCTGGAGCTCTTACCCTTTGTGTTCATGGAGAAGTCGGAACACGGCGCAGCACTCGGGCTGCAGGCCTCTGACCTTGAGGGCCTTCATGAGGCAGTCGTGCAAGCTCATGCCATTCCGCACATTGACCTGCGAACAAAAGACGCCCTTAGGAACCACAGCGCTGCAGCAGCCCTCGGAAGAAGAGCACAGGTATCAATCAACGAATCTGTCAAGGGGGCGCTGAAGACTTACAAAGCACTGATTGCAATGTCAAACACACATGCACACACACAGGAAGCAACCTGAGTGCCCAGCCGCAGGTGAGTGCTTGAATCAAGCGCGCAGCACCCAGACTGTCACACACTAAACGCATCCATTGTGTTACACTGCTTATAATAATGTAGAGGGGAACCCATGATGTATTGACTAGGGGAAAATATTTTCAGGATAATACAAAGAGTAAGAGTAGGAAATGGGGACACACATTTGTACAAGTGTGGAAATACTCTTAGCAGTTACAATCAGAGATTGCAGTTAAGAATAAAGGACACTTTCCCTTTACACATCTCTAATTTCCCTTTACACATCTCACTTATGTACACACAAACATGAACACCCCCCAGAAAGGAACATGAGCCAATATGAGCCATAGACAAAATGAGATGAGTTTATGGGATTTTAAAAAATTGCCTCTTCTTGCCCAGTGTGGTGGCCCACACCTGTCATCCCAGTGGCTTGGGAGGCTAAGGCAGGAAGATCTCGAGATCAAAGCCAGCCTCAGCAATGGTAAGGCCCTGAGCAACTCAGTGAGCCCCTGTCTCTAAATAAAACACAAAATAGGACTGGAGATGGGGCTTGGTGGTCAAGTGCCCCTGAGTTCAATCCCTGATATCCTCCACCCCCACCCAAAAAAAATTGCCCATCTCAACAAAATGGCTCAACAAAATGTTAGGGTTTTCCTAACAAAAATTCTATCTCATATGTGCTTTCTACCATTATACCGTTAAAGGGGAAACAGGAAGTGCACGAAATACAGCTGCTGTCCTGCTGGAGGGACCAGGCCAGTGTTATCCCGAATTTACATTCATACCACACCACACCACACCACACAGCCTTAGTAGCATCCAGTCCCTCCACTATCACTCGTACCCAATCTTCAAAGCCTAGTTAGAGGGTGGGCATGGTGGCACATGGGTGTCCCCACTTCCTACTCTTACTCTTTGTATTATTCTGACCCAATTCAGAAGGCTGAGGCAGTAAGATCCCAAGTTGGAGTCCAGTCTCAACTTAGCAAGACCCCGTCTCAAAATAAAAAGTGCTGGCAGAATAGCTCAGTGGTAGAGCACCGCTGGGTTCTAGCTCCAATGCAAAAAAAATGTCAGGCCACTGAAGTGGGCAGAGCCAGCGAGGAGGACAGAACACAGCTAGGAGACACCTGGGAACCGCCCACAGCGGGCTTCCTCCTCCTGAAGCTCAAAGTGCAGCAGCTCACAGAGGCCATCCCAGTCCTTTCCAGCCAACCCTTCCCTGGCCAGTTGAGGGCAGAGAGGTCTGCGCCTGCCAGCTGACAGGCTCCACACCAGGCCACAGACCTGGATGCAGGCAGAGCTAACCAAACAATCTGGGAGGAAAGGAGGGAAAGTCAGCTTAAGGATCGTGACGGCCTCAGTGAGGGCCATGTCAGAGGTTTCCACAGCTTTGATGGGATCGCATCTGCCCAGTCGTCAGTCTTTGAAGCATAAAGATGGGCTCTGCACTAAGAGGGCACAGCCTAGAAGAATGTGAACCTGCACAGCCATCAATCCCGGAGATAATGGGGGGGGGGGGGGGAGAGAACACTTTCCCAAAGGATCAAATTGGGGAGGAAGGAAAAGGTTTTTTCAAACTACTGAAGGTCCAACAGAGATTTTTATAGCCTCTTTGGTCTGATGGTTTCCTTCTCTCCTTCAGATGTGTGGAAGAGAGGGAACATGCTACCAACAGGCTAAGAGGGGGACCAAGTGATTCTTCAAGTAGATGAAGACGTCTCTTGGCCGACCGCGGTGGCGCACACCTGTAATTTGGCGACTTGGGAGGCTGAGGCAGGAGGATCACAAATTCAAAGCCAGCCTCAGCAATTTAGGCCCTCAGCAACTCAGCGAGACTCTGTCTCTAAATAAAATATAAAAAAGGGCTGGGGATGGGACTCAGTGGTTAAGCACCCCTGGGTTCGATCCTTGGTACTCCCCCCGCCCCCCAAAAAATCTCTCTACCCACCCATCCTCCCTGCAGCTCAGTTCTGGGGATTGAGCCCAGGGGTGGTGTATCACTGTGTCACACCCCCAATCCTTTTTACACTTTGAGATGCGGTCTCATTAAATTGCCCAGCCTGGGCTCAAACTTGCAATTCTCCTGCCTCAGCTGCCCAGAATGCGCACCCAGCAAAGACACCTTCATCCCATGAATTCTCTGAGGAAAAACGCTGGGTCACCTAATACCTTTGGCCCATATAAATGTTTTATTTACAAATAAATACATGAAATTAACATTCTAAAACTTCCTTGTACACACCAACATAGTTCAGATCAATGTTAACTAAAGCTTGTATCAAAATAATTGAGAAAGAAGAGATGGAAAGAGATTGAACAGAACAGCCACCCTTCGCTCAGTGTGACCTGGGAGGATGGGCATCACAACCCCCGAACTCTCCACTTCCATGTGTATTTTAAATGCTCCACAGGTTGATTCTAGAGGCTTCCGGAGGCAGTGTTAATGTCAGAGAGACCCCATGCATTCCAGGAAAGCAATGAGCTATGCTGACCTACACCACGAAGACACCAAGAATGAGGACAATGAAGGTGAACCCGGATCCGCGCAGCACCAGGACCTCCCTCCCTCAACCCCACGAGGCCAGGCCTGCAGAGCCGGGAGGCAGCCCCTGGCTACAGCATCCATCCTCATTAAGTCACGGGGTCCTAGAGCAGGACAGTTCTTGAAGCGCTCTCTAACCTAGCAAGGTCCCCCTGGTGGCTGGTGCGAGCCTCGCCCCAGGAGCTGTGAAAGCGCAGATGTGCAGCTCCTCCCTCCCCCATGCTCAGGAGGCTGCACCTGAACTTGTTAGCAGATTCTAGATGCCACGGTTCTCAGCTCAGGTCACTCGCTCATGTGGTGACACTGAGAAGCAGCAGAGTGGCAGGACAAGGTGGCATGTAAGGACAGAAGACTCACGACAGGAGACACTGACCATCTGCTCCTTGCTTCTAAAATTCTGCAAGTCACTCATTCCTCGCCTGCTGCTCCCCCAGAGCTGGATGCCCGGGCAAAGGAAGCTGGTTCTCCCAGAGGCAGATATGATCCATCTTTAGCCAAAGAAATAGAATAAACTAATCTCTGCTAAAACTTTCTCCCAGGTTGCAGAGGTGGAGCTTATAAAGTTACTGGCTCCATGACCCCGCTGTGTTCAAAAGAAAGACCACGCGGAAGACGACGCATCCCACACTGAGGAATGACCACAGCCCAGTGGGCTCAGGAACCAGGCACAGGACTAAGGAGGAGCTCAGTCCGTCAAGGTCAGGGAGCAGAGGTTCAAACCATCATGCACCATGTATGGAAGACACAGCTCAAAGACAACGGGGGCTGTCCTTTGGGTCGGCCGCTCAGGCTCCGTACACCAGCACTGGCCAAACTGCTGCCCGGCCTCTAGGCAAACTGGTAGAGATGGCAACGGAGGGACAGTAATGCCCAGAAGAGGGGCCACATGGTCCTCACATTCCCCTGACATTCCCAATTGCTACATGACCTCTCAATTTAAGGTCAGAAAGGAAACTTTTCATTTTAGGAAGGGGACAAACATAAATTTAGTTGGCCTTTTGTGGTTTCAGGACAAAATGCACCTAAAAGTGCCCACCACTGCAAATGGGGGGATCCGGTGGTTCCCAAATGAAGTATAAACGAATTTATGAAGAGGCTGGGGGTGGGGTGGCTCTGTGGCAGAGCACTTGCCTAGCGTTTGGGAAGCCCGGGGTTCCAGCCCCGCTCTCTTGCAATCTATTAGCACACTGACGACACTGGCTGGTCCAGCCGGTCCCACCTCGGCACCTGGCTTCTTCTTCATCTACAGGGCCCACGGGGGGTGGGGGGGTGGGGGGTGTTCACACAGAGAGCCAAGGGTGGAAAGGAAGAGACAGGCAAGTTTTGCACTAAGGTTTTCTCGAATGTCCCCAAGCATAATACAACTTGATTTTTCTATTTAAGACACTTTCTATTTCATATTTCTATTTTTTATTGGAGAATAGTAAACTTTGAGTCATAAAGTGTTAGAAAAACTGGACATCTTATGTAGGAACACTCAGCGGCAGTGTCCTAACATGATACCAACGTGAACCTGTCACTGGTTCTAGAAGAATGCACTTCGCAGAAATGACAAGTGTCCTGGCAAAGGGACAGGAGACACTGACCATCGACTGCTCCTTACTTCTGAAAACTGTGATCTAAGCTGCCTCTGGATTCGTCCTGAGCCTGTGAAACATTCCCGAATGATTTTCTTATTTTCTCCACACTTTTTAAAAACTAATTTAGCTGAAAGAACTAAAGAAACTTTTCAAAGAAAAGTCTCAGAAATACCCCCTTCAGTAGAATGGACAATTTGCCTGGCTAAGTAGTAGACAGGAGGCCACAGTGGTGGACAGCGACAATGGGAGGAAGGCCCAGGGGCGGAGAGGAGGGAGGAAGGGAGAACAGCAATGCGACAAGACAGAGTCCACCACTGGAAAAACGAGTTGATAAAGACCCGTGATGAGGTTCCCGCCTCTGAGCGGGACAGCACGCGCCACACTGTCCTTTACTGCAGACAGGCAGCCTGGGGTCCCGGGAGGAGCGCGCACATACCACTGTTCTCTGCTTGTTCGGCAAGAAGACCCGGATAGTGCTGCTGGCCTTGGAAGAGTCTGTGAGCTTGCCGTCGTCCGACGCCCGGCGCTGGTAGCCGAACTGCTGGCCTATGGTGGGGGAGATGCAGCTGGAGCCGTCGAACACGGCGTCTTTGAGTCCAAAGCCATTGCTGATCGTCCTCCAGGCCCCCTGAATGTGCTCCATTGATGCAGCGTAGACGACACTTGAACCTGGGCGAGCAAAACCAGTGATTATGATTCTAGAACAAAAGCGCTTCAAGGAGCACCATGTACAGAGCAGGGGTGAGCCTTTTTTAGAATCTACAAATCATACAGAAAAATTCCTATAATAGTCTGTTTCCACAAATATTCCAGACAAAACAAGGGCAATGGGGACAGGAGCTGGGGTTACACTCTGCCAACCTGGGGCGCAGGCCCAGACCTCCTGGCTCCTAGCGGAACACTTTGTCAATCGCGTTTCTCTCCTTTAGGGATTACTGAGTATGAGTCACTGCCCCTGAATCTGACCAACACATTACTATGACGACTGCGGAGGAGGGGCTGGGGACACAGCTCGGTAGGTAGAGGGTTTGGCTGCCAGGCACCAGGCCCTGGGTTCAATACCAGCACCACACACACACACACACACACACACACACACACACACACACAAAGCGCGAGCATCAGAATATGAGGACGAAAGTGGGTTTTTTCTTGCTGCTGTTGTTCTGCCTCCAAGAAAGAAAAAGAAACATATTTCTAAGATGTGTGCTGCAAACCTTCTCTCTCTCTCTCTCTCTCTCTCTCTCTCTCTCTCTCTCTCTCTCTCTCTCTCCCTCTTTCTTTCTTTCTTTCTTTTTTTTTTGGGGGGGAGGGTACTAGGGATTGAACCCAGAGATGCTTAAACACTGAGCCCCATCCCCAGCCCCTTTTTAGTAACATTTCATTTAGAGACAGGGTCCCACTGAGTTGCGTAGGACTTTGCTAAATTGCTATGGCTGGCTTTGAACTTGCCATCCTCCTGCCTCAGCCTCCTAAGCCACTGACATTACAGGTGTGCACCACTGTCTCCAGGTAACATTGCATTTAATTTGTGTAAGAAGCCCAGAGATTTTAAATTACTTCCTGAATCCCCTTCCCCAACCCTAGTCCAGTACTGGAGACTGAACCCAGGGAAGCTCTGTCCCCAGCTGGCTCTCATTTTTAAACAGGGTCTCGCTAAATTGCCCAGGTTGGCCTAGAACTTGTGAACCTCCTGCTTCCGTCTGCCAAGCAGCTGGGATTACAGACATGTGTCACTGCACCTCACTGACTCCTTTTTTAAACCAAAGGATGCATGCTACCTGCCAAGGAACATCCAGGGGATAGGCCAAATAACCAGATTCCACATCTGTCTAGATTTCAAGTCCACGAATTTTCCACTATTAACTGTCAGAGTTCACTTTTGGGGCAAAAACAAGCTTATACATAGAACCAAACGGGGACAGCCATCCAACCCAGAACAATCAAATGCATTAACCAGACAAAAAGATAACTGATCTGGAAATCACAGCTAGGGCACAATGACAGCACGTCAGGCACTCTCAAATATCAGGCCTCGGGAGGCCCTGACAGTGGCTTAGAAGTCAGCAGCCACATAGGAGCAGCAGATTGGTTTCCTCTTTTAGAAAACTGCAAGGCGGATGGAGAATCCCATCCTTCAAGGCTTCTTTCAGAAACCTGTTTTGTCTTACTAACAGCTGCTGCCACTTACTAGACAGGGCACACTCTATCTCTCCTAATCACCTTGACCCCTGAGCAGTGACACTCTAGGTAGGAACTAGGGCCACATTTTCAGCTGATGGAGTCCTCACACAGTTGAGCTGGGTGGGATTCAGAACCTGGCAGCCCTAACTCCAACCCCCTCACCTGGCCCTCACCTGCCCAGGTACAGGTGACTACGAAATCATTTCAGAGCTGAAAGAGCCTAGAATTAAAGACTATATAATCCACACCTCTTGTTTTCAACCAGAAGTTTCTGTCTGAATACCCACTATGTGCTACACTCTCTCCTATCAAAAGGGAGGTTACATATTAACTAATCAGCTTTCAATATCTACAGGCTTCCACATTTGTGGATTCAATCAATATCAAAAATAAGTACAAAAAAATCAATATCATGTATATCAATATTTTAAAAAGTTGCAACTGTACTGAACATAGCAGACTTTTTTCTTTTCATTATTCCCTAAACAATACAGTGTGTAACAACGATTTGCTAGAGACAACATAAATTATACAGACATAGTTTCTATGCAGCTACTACTCCATTTTATATAAGGGACTAAGGGACTTGAGCACACACAGATTTTGGTATGGGAGGGCGAAGGTCCTAGAATTAATCCTCAGCAGACACTTAGGGACCACTGTATCCTGAACTGACAGTTGAGGAAACCAAAGAGGTTCAAATTTATTCAGAATCATGACATATCTCAAAACAACCCTTTCTTTTTTTGGTACCGGGGACTAACTGAACTCAGGGACAGTTATCCACTGGACCACATCCCCGGCTCTTTTTATTTTAAGGCAGGGTTTCACTAAGTTGCTGAGGCTGGCAATCCTCCTGCCTCAGCCTCTGAGTCGCTGGAACTGCAGGCATGTGCCACCATGTGCAGTCTTGGTACCACCTTTTCTGGAAGAGATCATGGTAATAACCACTAAAATACTGAAATGATCTTAAAGACTAATCCAGTGATTCTACTCTAGGAATTTAACCTATAAAAACTAAAGTCCTTAAACAACATGCACAAGCACAGGCACCGCAGCGTGGTCCATACTCTTGATAAACTGGGGAAAAGAACAAATACCCAGCCACAGGGAACCAGACAATGTTGACATGTGTATGATAAACTGAGGTTGATCCACATGTGTGCAAATGGAAAAAGATCAGCAAGACAAAATAAAAACAGGGGAAAAAAAAAATGTAGCTTAAACCCAAAAGAGGAAGGAAATCTAAGAGGGGGTGGCAGATCTAGAATTATCAACCAAGCATTAACAGGGATTATTTCAGCAGAACGATAAGGAATTTTTATTATATATACTACCTATTTCCCTTTTGTTTTTATATTTTACTATTCCATTAGAAACTACTTTCTTCAGGGCAGGGGGCAATGCTGGGATCAACCCGGGGCCTCTCCCACTCACCCACACTCTGACCACAGAGGATGGTAGTAAGTGCTCCTGCGCAGAACTCCTCACACAGCTACATTTTAAACTTTTACCAACCCATTTTATTTCTGTAAGGGGGAAAAATAATCCTACAGCCTTCAACTGACAAGGCTAAGACACTGTCTCCCACCTCTGGCACCTAAACCTGACTCCACTCACTCCTAACTCCATACCCAGGATACCAGGAGATCACTACAGCACTTCTTTTCCCTAGATGTTTTCCCTCCACTATGGAAGGAGAGATGAAGGCGCTTAGGACCAGATGGGAAAATAGACAGAGGGAAGCCCCATCTGAGCAACTCAAATGCAGTCATGCTAAGCTCTACAACTGCCAGCACAATGTCAGCTCCTAGTGACACACCTCATTAAATAACTCACAATAAAGCCGGGCAGGTGGTGCACGCCCGTCATCCCAGCAGCTCCAGAAGCTGAGGCAGGAGGATCACAAGTTCAAAACCAGCCTCAGCAATTTAGCGAGGCACTAAGCAACTCAGTGAGACTCTGTCTCTAAATAAAATACAAAATAGGGCTGGGGAGGGGGCTGAGTGGCCAAGTGCCCCCCCAGTTCAATGTCCTCTATCTACCTCCCCCACAAAAAATTATTTGAAGATAATTTTGGCAACATAGGCTTATATAGAAACTAATTTTAAAGCTTCATTTCTGTCCAATATTAAAAAATAATTTTTAGATACCTCTTCACACATAAGGTAGTTTTTCATTATCACCAAAGATCCCAGACCTTAAACACTTATTTATGTCTGAGAATCTGCACTTCACAGACTAAACATTTACTTTTTACATGCCAGCAAAGATGTGTGCTTGTTATTTCACTAACTGTGATAGCTAAATTCTACGAAGTCTTTTAAAAAAAGGTCTTAATATGAACTTATATTGAACTCATTCAGTCTATTCTAGAATTCAGGTACAATGGGTTCTAAGCTGCTTCCACCTGCATTCCAGAACCTTCTCCCCCACCTCCCAACTTCAAAAAAAAGCCACTGGGTGTGGTGGTGCACAGCTGTAATTCCAGCAGTTTGGGAGGCTGAGGCAGGAGGATTATAAATTCAAAGCCAGCTTCAGCAACTTAGAGGGACCCTGTCTCAAAATAAAAACTAAAACAGGCTGGGGATGTGGATCACTGGTTAAGCACCCCTGGGTTCAATCCCTGGTAACCCCCCCACACCAAATAAATAAATAAATAAGCTTAACCCCACCCTACTCTGCCTCACTCTACTGACTTCTATCTCATTAAAGAATTGCAGATTAACCTGATCCTAAAATTCGTCTCTGAAAAACCTCAGGGGATATTTTATGATAGAAAAAGACAGTGACTCATAACCACCAAGCATCTTAGCGTTCTGCACCCACCCACACTGCATCTGTCAATCACGAGTTACTATAAATTTCTCTGTTTTCTAGTGCACACTATTTCTGAGGTGGTAGATTCCACAGGTCCAAAGAGTATGCCCTTTCTTGGTTTCATGCTGTACTCTGCAGTGGAGTGTGAGGGTGGGCTTGTTTTAATCATGTAGTTCATGATTTTTATAGAATACATTCTTCTCACACTCCATTCTTTTTATACCAAAATGCCTTTATTACTTGTCATAATCTCTCAACTGCATTTATTCCTTATGTGCATATTCCCTTTTAGAAAGAGAGTCAAGTTAAAAGATGGATTTATAATTCTATAGAGCTAGACATGATGGCACATACCTAGAATCCCAGTTTCCTGGGAGGCTAAGAAGGACCTCAAGTTCAAGGTTACCCTGGGCAGCAGAGAGACCCTGTCTCAAAATATAAAATAAAAAAGGGCTGGGGATATAGCTCAGTGGTTCAATCCCCAGTAGCAAAACAAACAAACAAACACCTCAATAGCAGTAAATTTAAGTGCAAATGACTAGTGTATAAAGATACAGCCTGAATTATAAAGGGGAATATGTATAAACCCAAGACCAGGTGCTTGAATATCCCGACATTCTCTTGTTCATTTCAATGGCTTTTTGGGACCCTTTTTGTAACCAGTA